TGAAATTATTATGCATACATCTTTGTGTATTTGTACAATGATATCTTTAGAGAAAATTCCTAGAAGTGAGATCCCTAGGTCAAGGAATATATATTATCAAACTACCCCTCAAAAAGATTGAATCGCCAAAACCGGTTTGGCTCAGTGGATAGAACGTCAGTCTTCAGACTAAAAGGTCCCAGGTTTGATTCCAGTCAAGGGCATGTACCTTGGTTGCGGGCACATCCCCAGTAGGGGATTAATTGTTAATCTTTTCAATCTATTAGGTAAAATACATCATTACTTATTTATTTTACATATATACTAGAAGTCTGATGCACAAAATTCATGCAAGAATAGACCTTCCTTCCCCCCGCTGCTGGCACCAGCTTCCCTTTGGCAACCAGGACCAGAGCTTCCCTCTGGCCACCAGCAGGCACCCGGAACCCAGGCTTTCCTCGCAGCCCCAGCTTTATCCAGAAGATCAGGAAGATTGTCCAGAAAGACGTCTGGTCTAATTAGCATATTATGCTTTTATTATTATAGATATTAGTTAAAGTGAATATTGTTTCATCTTTATACTGGCCATTTGCATGTGTTTCACGAACTGTCTACCCATGTCATCTGGCTATTTTCCTGGACAATTTCTTGAATAGTGAATCTCAAACAGGTAGCTCTCTCTCTCTCTTTGTTTCACCTTGAGAATCATTGTAGTAGTTAGCATAGTTCTCAAATGTGCAGAACTGATTTTTTAAAACTCATGATTAGCCAAAACCGGTTTGGCTCAGTGAATAGAGCGTCGGTCTGCGGACTGAAGGGTCCCAGGTTCGATTCCGGTCAAGGGCATGTACCTTGGTTGCAGGCACATCCCCAGTAGGAGGTGTGCAAGAGGCAGCTGATCGATGATTCTCTCATCGATGTTTCTAACTCTCTATCCCTCTCTCTTACTCTCTGTAAAAAATCAATAAAATATATTTTTTAAAAAAACAAAAAAACAAAACCTCATGATTAGCCCCGTTGGTGTGGCTCAATTGGTTGAGCATTGTCCCATGCACCAAGAGGTCGTTGATTCTATTCCCGGTGAGGGCAATTGATTTCAGATTAATTGCAGGCTTGATCCCCAGTAGGAGTCATGTAGGAGGCAGCCAATCGATGATGTTTCTCTCTCATCGATGCTTCTATCTCTCCCTCTCCCTTCCTTGCTCTCTAAAATCAATAAAAGTATTTTTTAAATGTTTGAATTAAAAAAAATACTCATGATGAAGTATTTTTAAGTAAAATTTTGACATGTAAAGAATGATAATAGCAGAACAGCTGCTACCAGACCAACCTTCTTACAGATTACATTTATACACTCAAGACAAAATACAAAAACAACTACTTGAGGACTGGAGAGCAATCAAAAGCAGGCAGCCACTCTGGAAAATAGTTTGGCTGTTCCTTAAAACGTTAAACACAGAGTTACTATTTAACCCAGTAATTCTACTCTTAAGTACATATCCAAGAGAAATGAAAACATGTCCATACAAAAACTTATGCACATTCATAGCAGCATTATTCATGATAAAAAAAACTGAAACAATCCACATATCTACCAACTGATAAATAGATAAGCAAAGCATATCATATTCATATCTATATACCAGTATATAAAAGCCCAGTGACCGGAACGGTGGAATAACCAGAATGGTTGGAACGACTGTTGGCTATGACATGCACTGCAGCAGCCAACTGGCCTGATCAGGACCCTGATGGGCACCCTTTACCCCCGGCCTGTCCTGCCCCTGATCAGCTCCCAACACCCCAATTGAAGGTGGAACTGGCCAGCCAACCTCTCGTGGCCCCACCCCACCACCAGCCCAGCCGATCACCCATACATGAATTAGTGCACTGACCTCTAGTTAAAGAATATTAACCTATATAATAAAAAGCTAATATGCAAATTGACCAAATGGTGGAATGACCAATTGCTATGACATGCACTGACCAACAGGGGGCAGCTGCACAAGGCAGGAGCTGCTCCCTGGTGAGCAGTGCACTCCACAGGGGAATGCCACTCAGCCAGAAGCCGGGCCTACGGCTGGTGAGTGCAGTGGCAGGAGCCTCTCTGGTATGTATGTTTGAACTTATCTGGGCTGAGGGATCAAACCCACCCCCCCCAGCCCAGTGCACAAATTTCGTGCACCAGGCCTCTGGATTTTATTGCACCAGGTTTAGGAGAACTTATAACGCCAGGATGAGGACTTTATTAACAGTCCTATTTTGCGAGATCCAAGATGGCTGCGCCCAGGTAAACATCTAGCCGCAGCCGCACACAACAATTTCAATAAAATACAACTAAAATATAAAACGGACATTACCCAGAACTACAGGAAAGTTGACTGACTGGAAATTCTACAGCGAGAAGCAAGGAGAAAACCAGAAGGAAGCGCGGAGGAGCTGGAAAAGCTCAAGGTACAGAGACACGCGGCGCGTGGAGAGGATGGAGCGGAAAGGAGATAAACGCTCTGACTGTGCTGGGCCCCCGACTGCTCTGAACCACAGTTCTAGGCCAGACCCCGGGGACCCAGGCTCATCCATAGGGAGCTGGGCTGTAAGGCGGAACCCCGGAGTGGCGAAAGGAGGTCCCGGAGGCTCGCACACTGCGCGCAGAGAAGGGACAGTTGGCTGTGCCGCGGGATTGCCCTGACGAGAAGGAGACTGGGGCACCAGACTGCTCTGAACGCCACCTCCAACTCCACTTCCAACTGAACTGAACCCCAATACCGGGCTCATTGTGGGAGAGCATAGACTGTTTGGCAGCAGGCGAAAATCGAGGGCACTTTTCTCTCAGAGGCGCCAACAGTGAGCACTGAAGGACCCGCATAGGTCGGGGCTGACGGAAGCCAAAGCTGCAGGCTCCATCCTGAAACCCCGTCCCATCTGTAACTGCGAAATGCGACAACAAAATAGATCACAAACGAAAGAAATGGAGGACAAAAAGCGGCTGGATATAGAGTTCAAATCTACGCTTATAAGGTTTTTCAAGAATTGCCTAGAAAAGATGGATAAGTCCTATGAGGATATGAAAAGGGATCAACTAGAATTAATAAGGAGTCATCAAGAAATGATAAGGGATCAACAAGAAATAAAGAATACATTGTCTGAAATAAAAAATATTTTACAGAGTCCTAAAAACAGAAGGGAAGATCCCAAGAATCAAGTCAAAGATTTGGAACATAAAGAGCCAGAAGACACTCCTCCGCAGAAGCAAGAAGGCAAGAGAATCCAGAAAATTGAAGATAATGTAAGAAACCTCTGGGACAACTTCAAGCGAACCAACATCAGAATTATGGGGGTCCCAGAAGATGAGAGAGAGCAAGATATTGAAAACATACTGAAAGAAATAGTGACAGAAAACTTCCCCCACCTGGTGAAAGAATTAGACTTACAAGTCCAGGAAGCGCACAGAACTCCAAACAAAAGGAATCAAAAGAGGACCACACCAAGACACATCATAATTAAAATTCCAAGAGCAAAAGACAAAGAGAGAATATTAAAAGAAGCAAGAGCAAAGAAGGTAGTTACCTATAAAGGAGCACCTATATGATTGTCAGCTGACTTCTCAACAGAAACCATGCAGGCCAGAAGGGAATGGCAAGAAATATTCAAGGTGATGAATAGTAAGAACCTACAGCCAAAGATAATCTATCCAGCAAAGCTATCACTCAGAATCAAAGGTCAGATAAAGAGCTTCACTAATAAAAAATAAATAAATAAATAAATAAATAAATAAATAAAAATAAAAAAAATAAAAAAGCTAAAGGAGTTCATCAACACCAAACCAGAATTATATGAATTGCTGAAGGGGGTTCTTTCAGAAGAGAAAGTAAACAAAGATAAAAATTATGAACAACAAATACGTAACTATCAACAAGTGAATCTAAAAACCAAGGAAATTAAAAAAAAAAAAATCTGGTGAACAATATTAACTGTTGAATATAATAGAATCAGAGGTATGGAAGGGGAGTGAACTGACGATTCTTGGGGAAAAGGGGAGAGGGGGTCGTGGGAAGAGACTGAACATAAACTGTGCACCTATGGATGAGGACAATGGGGAGTGGAGAAAGGGCAGAGGGTCGGGTGGGAACCTGGTGGAGGAGAGCAATGGTGGGGGCGGGGGGGAAAGGAACATTTGTAATAATATGAACAATAAAAACTTATTAAACAGTCCTATTTTGCAATTGAGGGAAATAAGCCACAGAACAATTAAGTGATTTCTTCATAGTTGGACATAGTATGGAACAGTCCCACTCAGATAATGCTGCTGCTTCTGGAGCAACTTAGTCTTCAAGTACAATCAGGAAATGCTGTGGAGCTTGGCTTTTTGTTTAAGTTCTAAACAGAACTGGTGTCACGGATGGCATAGTCTCCTGTGAGGAAAAAAAACCTCACACATATTCAGACATGGAATTCTTTTCTTTTAATATATATTTTATTGATTTTCTTACAGAGAGGAAGGGAGAGAGATAACCAGAATCGAACCTGGGACCTTTCAGTCCGCAGGCTGATTCTCTATCCACTGAGCCAAACTGGTTTTGGCAAAACATGGAATTCTTGACAAAGAAAAACAAAGTCCTTTGGTTTTAAAATGACCATTTTTAAAATTTACTATCAATTTCTTACCAAAAATTGCAATCAAAATTTTTGTATGAAACATATTTGACAATTTTTAAAAAGTTTAAAGCCAAACTATTGAGCATAAATATTAATACTTGAACTACTTTACCATCTTTTACAATCATGTTTAAAATAAGTATTACCAGAAAGACAAATAGTAGAGTACATACCTATTCTTCAAACTTAAAGAGTTTGGTCTCATAAATCTGGAATTGATTGAACCAGTATATTAAGTAGGCAAAGCAGAAAGATTCAATCAAATGCAAGCATTGAAAATGTTTTTTAAATATTGAGAACCAGGTGCGCTGTGCATTACCACATTTATGACAGCACATCTGTGATTGCTCACCACTCTAACTTACCCCAGTTTTATCACACAAACGTAAAGTATGAAACGATCCAACAGCAAATAATTCCCCATCTGGAGCCCAGGCAACTGAGGTAACGGGATGCTCATGGGGCTGTGAATTATACAGAAGGCGGCCATAACTATCCCATACCTACAAAAGCAAAATTTTAAAGATCTTTCATAACAGTCACCACCACATTATTATAAACAAGTCTGTCCTACAGTGAGATATCAAGTAAAGATTTAGAAATCATCACTTTACAATATTAACAATTAAATGTCTACTATCACATAAGGGGGTGGAGAAGCTGTACTGAAACCTAAGTATCTCAAAAAATACATATTATGATAACACTGTCACAATTTTCAGAAGCTACACATTAATAAAAAAACAACCTACCCATTTTAAGTCCTTTTAAATAATGAAGTTTTGAGATGATGCATTTTTTTTGCTTAAATTCTTTGTTCAACAACTGTTTATCAACTTTCTCTCAAAACATTTATTTCAATTGAATTTCCTCTTACTTTAAATCTTATTCTTACCCCCACCCCAAACTATTTTGGTCTAAAGCTAATATATATTTAATAAATCAATAAGCTTGATTTTTAAAAACTTGAGTTAATTTCACTTGAGTCACTAAAACTAGAAGTTGTATTTATGTTGCCACTTATTAAGTCAAATTCGACAGGTCAATGAGCTCAGATAGAAGTTAGGGAGTTGTGGGAGGGAAGGCCAAGGAGAAAGTCAGCTCTTTAAAATACCACTTAAAATAATAATTAGCAATATGTTAAATTACTAGAGTTAAATGGCATGGCTAAAGTAAAGTGCTACAAGAATATCCATAGATGCTGAATACTCTTCAACTAAATTTGATTCTTTCAACCAGGTGATAAGTTCAAACATACATACCTTATATTTACAGTCTTCACCAGCAGATAAAATTAAATCATTGACTGAGTTCCAATCTACTTTTAAAATAATGCCATCATGAGCTTTCCACTATGAAAGAGAGAAAAAAAGATATTAATTACAACTTCAAGAGCACAGAAAGGTTTTTATAATAGGAGAAGACATTTTGCCCCTTTCTAACGATTCTCTTGTCCTCTCCCTGGATATTCCCATCTTCATTTCATAACCATTATGCATAACCTCATTTGCCTATTTCATTTCTAATTTACACTAATGAAAGCATCTAGCCCTATGACATCCACTATATAGTTTACATCCTTATTAATTCCTTCAGTTGCATGAACTTCAGATGGAAAAACCACTTGCTGTCGAACTATTCCAAGCTTGACATTTGTGTGATAACACTGGAATGAATGTTATGCACTCCAAAACTTAAGTTGAATCCAAATCTTGCTCTCCTCTGTACAATTGACCCCATTACTGATACTGCCTTCATTCTTGTTAACTAATTCTTTTCTTTTTTAAAAAAAAACTTCTACTACCTGAACACCTTCTTTAGTACTCTCTTCATTCCCTCTGCATATTCTCCTAAGCTTCATTCTCTTTACCTTCATGTTACTGGCATAGTCACTAAACAACTAGAAAAATCTGCTGCGTTTACTGTATAACAAAAGGATAAATTCCACAGATATTTATGTGTTCTGTACATATATATGGATATATAAGTGACCCAGAAATTGGCAATCCAGAAAGTAAACATGGATGTCTTCTTGTCCTTAAATATACTAGTAATTCATGTGCCCATTTAGCAATTAACACACATGTAATTAAAAGCTTTCTTTTACCATATTTAAGCAGAATAATATAACTGGAGTTACCAATTAAAGGGCTCTGTCTATAGATCCTTCCAAGTATATTTTTAAGTATACAGAATAAAATATTGAATTAGTGTCAAATAAGAATAATTCATAGCTTGTTTTATTCAAGATTTGTAAAAATATACATTCTCAAAAACAAATGTTTTGATAACATGTTAAAAAGCAATAATTCTCACAATTTACTGCCAAATTAACCCAATGTTCTAAAATAAACTAAAAGGACAAAAATAAATTATCTGGGCACAGATATATAAATAGCTAGATAGATATACACATAGAGATCATTGAGTTTCATTTTAAATCTACAAAAATTTTGTATATTCAAAATTTAGGAACAAAATATGACTTAAAGTTCCCTTAAACAATTTACCCATGAGTTTGAACTACATGGGTCCACTTATATGCAGATTTTTTTCAATAAATACTGTAATTGTATTTTCCTATGATTTTTTAAAACATTTCTTCTACCTTTTTTTAATTGTAAAAATAGAGTATATAATACATATAACATAAAATATGTGTTAATTGTTTAGGTTATTGGTAGAGCTTCTGATCAACAGCAGGCTATCAGCAGTTAAGCTTGGGGCATCAAAAGTTATAGTTGAATTTTCAATAGTGTGAGTGTCAGTGCCCCTAACTGCTGTTCAAGGATCAACTCTACTTTTAGTATATCAATTTATATATTGCATACATTTACTATTGTATACAATACACATTTTTCACTCATTTCTCAATGTTAGTCACTTCTTGAAATTCTTCTGAACAAGTTCCTTGTTGCCAGAAACTGTTATTTCACTTTTAATATCTCACAGCTAGCATAGTGTTTGGAACATAGTAGTTATGCACTACATTTTCACTAATTGAATAAATAAAAAATGTCTTCTCACTATAAAACCAGATTTGGATCTCTAGAAGAGTCCATAGAGCCCATTTCATGGGAAATGAAATATTTACTTTTGAACTGTATTCTTTTTTATGGGCAATCCAAATTTGAGTCTTTTTTTTTTTTTTTTTTTTTTTTTTTTTTTTGCCCAAGGAGAAATGCCGCAACCTTAGTTTTCCATAAGGAATAGAAAATTTCCACTAAGTTACTAATCATACTTTAACTTTTCCTCTCCTCTAGCTGAACTTTGGCACTGGATACTTCTCCTCTCACTACCTCCAGGCTCAAAGGTTCTACCAAACCACTAAATTATAATTTAATCAATGGTGATATAAGCATTTCCTGAGTTTCATTCAAATAAGCCTAATTACAGGTACCTAAACAAGTCACATGATTATAAACTAAAAGGTTCATCTTGCCTGTTTTTGCTATGTAATTTCATAGCAGCTTTTCTGAGTGTAAGTGCTAGGGAAGAACTTCGACTAAAGGCAGTCAGAACTAGTGCTCTTCTTTTCCAGCTTCTTCCTTTTGCCCGAATTCTTTTCCTTAGTTGTCTAAGAGCAAGCACTTGTGTCTTCTATTTCTTCTTTGTCCATAGTTCTAAGCAGACTGTTTTGCATGCAGTAAAAATGTAAATGCATGCAGACTATATGATATATGTAGCACAATCTATATGACAGTTACTAATCTAAAACCTCAAAGTCATTTCTATCTCATTACTCCCCCAAATCTGTATCTACCCAACTATTAAATCTGATGCTTCTTAAAACACCTTTATACCTGCTGTAGCAAATCAAACTCCAACATCAAATCCCTTAACCCAACCTAGTCATTCTACCTTTTTTTTTTTTCCCTGACCTCTTTAGCTCTAATTTATTAGGGACTGACTAAAGTGTAGAAATAACTTAATAATGCATAATAATATCAATAACAATTCCTCTAGCTGAATGCTTATTGCATGTACTCAATATGCTTACTGTATGTACTGTCCCATGCACTTTGTAATTTAATTCATTTAATACTCAATAATCCTATCAAGTAGGTACGACTATCACAACTAATAAGAGAGCTGAGGTTCAAAGATATTCTAACTTGCACTTGAATCCAGGGGACTAACTCCAAAACCTATATTCTTGTTCATCACATCATTTCCAACATGTGAAGAAAATGATTCTTTTAACACTGGAATCAAACACCAAAATTCTAGACATAGGCTCAGTTTTCCATTAATTTGTCTATGCTGACCTGTTTTAACTGCAACCATTGTTTGGCTTCTACATAATGGATAAAATGTATACACCTGATTTGTTCTCAGTTGTTCTACATTAATTCTCCCTCCATTCCAAAAATGCTAAAAGAAAGTTTTAAAGAACCCTCAAGTGTATTGAACAGATGAGAAAAATGATAGTAATGATGATTAAAAAAAAAAAGTCCAAACAAGCTTTTAAAGTTTATGATTTTGTTCTGTTTTGTCTCAAATCTATACATTTGAGGCTGACTCTGCTAAAGTCAAAGATATCAATCATGCCAAATCATGTGACAGTTTAGTAATGCAAACCATATTTATGATTTACTGGTAAGATAGGAGTTGGAATAAGAAGGAAGTGAGCCTTGTTGGAAACATAACCAGATATTCCCTATTCTATAATAAAGGCTGATAAAACGACACATTCAAAAGCCTCAGACTGTAAAAAGGCCACCCAGAAGAAAGGGACTCCCCTAAGAAAATGACCTCTCACTTAGCAGTCTGGCAAATCCTGATAACAACTTACAAATGCCTGAGAAGTACCTGTAAAACTTTAGCATTTGGTTGAAGAGGCTTAATGATCAGCTGCTTGCCTGCTGTGTAAAGAACCTTTTCTGAATCAGGGTCCCATGCTACTGAATACACTGGTATTCCTGTAAAAAGAAAAACACACCTGATAAATTTTTATTATCATGCCTTATAAAGAGGGAGATTGTTAAGAGGATCAAAAAAGTAATCTGGGGTGTCATTTCATTTCCTCCTAATTCAAAAGCTCTTTCAAACTGGACTGGGTTAATATTGACCATTTAAAATCTACTTTGACAACTAACAAACTATATTTTGAACTACTTTTGACCTTGCTGGGGGAAAAAAATGAAGCTTCTAGGAATTCAAGATATTATACTATTGAAATACATAAAATAAATAAACTACATATGTTAAGATATAAAGAGGTGTATAAAGAGGTATCATTTCCCATCAGCAATAGCCATCAGTTTAAACTAACTTAATGCATAAACTTCCCACACAAAAATATACATCTTATAGAAAATTCTGATTTTTGATGCTGCTATAGGTGACAGAACTTCCCCTCATCTGCTGCTTATGAGTAGTCTAATGAATAGAAATAAGCCAACTCCAAAATGACCTAGCTCTTCCATCTATGAATTCACAAATGGCAAATTAAATATCTGATTAGGGAAAGTCTTAACTATCAATTAAGTTTAGCTTTAGCCTGAAAGCTAGGCTTAGCAGGAGTCAAATATCCTATAACCAGAACTAAGCTGACTCCACTTCCAGAGGAAAGATACAAGTTTGAGTTACCTATTATACTGTTATGGTCATAATTAAGTCGTTTATTGCCGAAGCCGGTTTGGCTCAGTGGTAGAGCGTCGGTCTGCGGATTGAAAGGTCCCAGGTTCGATTCCGGTCAAGGGCATGTACATTGGTTGCGGGCACATCCCCCGGCAGGGGGTGTGCAAGAGGCGGCTGGTCGATGTTTCTCTCTCATCGACGTTTCTCTCTCTCTATCTCTCTCCCTTCCTCTCTGTAAAAAATCAATAAAATATATTTAAAAAAAAAAATTAAGTCGTTTATTAATATTAATAAAGGAAGAGAGAAAAGGGGAGGCCAGACATTATAAGCATGGTCATCTGGGCAGCTTCACCAGGAAGCTACAGCTTCACACTTCCCGGGAAAACCAATGGTCCATTCCCTGCAGACCACTGGGAAGAGGGATTGAACAAAGGGGAGATGGGCACATGCCCAGTGAAGTCAGGGTGACTTAGGGAAGGTACTTGCCTGGGAAAAGTCATTGGCTAGGAAGGTGGAGCCACTGCAGGGTCTCGAGATCTTAGGAGGTTAAAATCCCCAGACAAAGAATTCCCTCTCCTTGTTTCCTCTTGCTCTCTTATTCCATGACCTGCACTCACCCATGCATTCACGTGTTCTCTCTCCATAGCCATGTGCCATAGCAACTGCATGGCCCATGGCTATGAGGACCCCACACACAATGAACTGAACTGGGAACACAAGCTAAGCCAGCCAGTTGCTGGACCAGACTACACTTTAATATGGAACAGAAACTCCGGGCAGTGGCCTTCATCCTGGCCCTGATGAGAAAAGACTGGACTTTTTCTAGGCAGGATGTACGGAGATGGGACCTCCAGGGAAAATCCTTTAATTTTACATCTCCAATAAAGCTTTCCATGAAATCCCATCCTCCCATGGGGTCTCAGGAAATTCTTTTCTTGCGGCACCCTAAGAACTCCCCTTCTACTGATAACAATATAAATTACACTAAATTTCATACAGCTTTCAATATCCTAGAATAGCATGTAGGGTTCAATCAAATATAAACAATGTGACCAAGTTATCTATTAATTACGTTCTATATTATCTTCTGGAAGGCTGTACTTTATGTGAGCCTGGTTGTTTTTTTTGTGTGTGTGGCTTTTTTTTTTTAAGTATCATATGTATTGAAAACATTAAATATCTATACTCCACTCTCTGACCAAGTTATCTATTAATTAGGAAAGTGAATCAGGTAATAATATTAATCTATGAAATATATAATCAAGCTTTTAAAAGTTGTCTAGGACACCTATGTCAGACTATTGTAGCAACTGACTTTCTGAGAATCAATGAATAAATCTTTCAAGACTTTACATTCTCATTAAAAATGAAATATGAATCTGATTTTTTATGGTCAACCAATATGATTTAATTATTTATTTAAATTGCAACTCAACTGATGCTAATCAACAGAAAGTAATCAGTAAGATAAAAGCTTGTGTTCAAGTGGCACCCTACCTTTTTTGTGCCACTTTCTTCTCAACAAGAACACAACTGTGAGCAAGTCTCAGTGGTATACAAGACTTAGGAAGTCTACTCTAGTCCAAAAAAATCCGGGCCCCAATTGGTTTAGCTCAATGGAAGATAGAGTGTCAGCCTGCGGACTAAAAGGTCCCAGGTTCGGATCCGGTCAAGGGTGTGTACCTTGGTTTCGGGCACATCCCCAATAGGGGGTGAGCAGGAGGCACTGAACAATGTTTTAATTCTCTATCCCTCTCCCTTCCTCTCTGAAAAAAAATCATTAAAATATATATATTTTTTAAAAATCCGGAAGCATGCCTTCCACAGTTTGGGTTAGATATTATATTGGGTCTAAATATCCTGTTCAGTCAATGACATGTATGATTGTTCTGTTATCAAAGAAACCAAGAGATAGATGGCCAATCTCAGAAGACACCCCTCCTTTTTCTGTACTTGGTAAGTACATTTGCTTGGAATATTCTCTGGGAGTAGACAGAGCTGCCCTGGACTTCAAAAGTCAATCTCCAGATGAACAGAGTTCAACTCCAATAAACCCCCCAAGAAATATAAACAAAAATTTCACGTATCTCAAACGTGGTTCTTAGGTGAGGACTGGAAGTGAACAGAGAAGGAAAGCATATTTGATTAAGTTAATGGAATTATAGATGCCTTCTCTATTTCCATTAGTATAGTTACAGTTATTGTGCTAAAAATAAATTTATATATTTTAATTCTAAATTATCAAATCTTCGTGAATACACTCAGTAAAATTAGACTTTCCTGGGGTGAACACTAAACAATGACAAACATCTACCCCCAAGGAAATAATTCAGTAAATACAACTCCCATTGAGTTATACAGGATGTGACTCTAGTTCTTTAGTTGTGGTAAAAGGCACGGTTGGGGTATAGGATGAGGAGCTAGGGACGCTTATATCCTCTTTAACCTTGAATTTGTGGCCCCATTAAGTCAGCTGTGTCACCATTTCCTTGTTTATAAATCTTATAGATCTTTAGAATACTTATTTTCCTTTTGGGACATGAAGATTATTCATTTCCTGTTTATAAATCAATACGTTAAATAATAATAATTTTAAAGAAACAGCTATAACTATGGTTTAAAATAAAATAGCTTCTAGAGAAAAGTTAAGTAATTCCTTTATTATAATATGTGATTTTTAACCACATTTCTCCAATCAAAAGACAAAGAGGGAGCTATTTGTGATAAAGAACTTTAAATAAAATCAATAGCTACATCTCACTAGCTCAATCTTTCTAACCAACAATATTCAAAATAGATAAAACATCAAGAACTAAGAGAATTCTTTAGTATACCTACCCTTTATATTTATAATAAAATATTAAGTGTGAAACTAATGTGTGTGTGTGTGTGTGTGTGTGTGTGTGTATAAACTTTTTTTCCCCCCAAGAGGAGATGTACTACACATTGCTGTACAACTTCCTAAATTAGGGGGGTTCTAATAAAGATCATTATTGAAAGTGGACGAATTACCTTCAAAAAGAAAATAATGATTTCTAATATGATGAAATCCATCCCATTAGCATTTAAAACCTATAATATTTCAAGCTTTAGAAAAACATACTTATTTAAAAAATACCTATTCCTAGTGCTTCCCTTCATTTTGCAAAGTCAGTATGGAAATAACAAATTTAGCCTTTCAAAATGAATAACTTTAAAACAAAAAGTTTAGCAAATTATGTAAAAAGATGTTTTTGATTTTATCACTAACAAAAAATAGAGCAAAAAAAGTTTATAATTTATTGCTTTTTATATTGGGAATTTTTATTTATGTTCCATTTCAGTTAAGACAAAAAGATCTTGTTTTTCTGACTTTGTACAATAAGATCATGTGACCTTTTTGACATTTTTTAAGAAACCACATGCACCTGGGGTTGTGTTAAATGTCAGACCCTTATCTCTCTGTAAAACAAATTATCTAAATTCTTTCAACCTGTTGAAGGCATTTTAAACCACAGAAGAGGAGACAAAAATGTATTTCAATTGTTTTAAGGAAGTACATGGTCAAATAAACCATGTTTTTCACATTCATACTAAGAGGTATCCCCTAAAAATGTTGTTTTTGAAAGTTTTTAAGAATGCTTTTGAAACAAATGCTTCACTATTATAATAAAGCATTAGTTATTTTTGCCTTGAATGCAATATAGATATATATTGAATGAATATTAGGAAAGTGCACAGAACAGAGTCTGGTACTATATAGGCACTGTTAGTGACTACTACCAAAAATTACTTTCTAATGCAATAAGCAGCCACTTGTTTATTGTGTTGCTCATGGTAGTAGATACTCAATTTTTTTTTTGTTACAACATCATTAAAAATTCAAAAACCAAGAATTATTTCCCTTTATTTTATTTGTAGGGACATGCACTAACAATAGGTAGTCAAGTGCAATTTATTACATTAAAAAACGAACTTCTGGGTTATGTATGTCATTGGGTCAGTACAAAGAAAAAGTATAAATGAAGGCATTTGTGTCTTTAGTTTCAACCTCTCCCTTGAGGACCTCAACTTGCCCCGTACCTTCACCTTTCACCTTTCAGTGACTGACTCTCACATTACTCTGAGCCCTAACAATATTCCCACTTGCCCCAAAGACATGTCAGAACTTCAAACTCTACATATTCTACATATCACCCTCCACACATACTCCCTCAATTATTCTTCCTTCTGAATTATTTTTTAAACATATTTTTATGTATTTCAGAGAGGAAGGAAAAGAGAAATAGAAACATTAATGATGAGAGAGAATCACTGATCAGCTGCCTCCTGAGGATCAAGCTCACAACCTGGGCATGTG